AAGTGAAGATAATTTTGACAGGGAGGGGGGGAGACAGGTTTTGGGCTTTAAATTGCATAACAATAGGGCCTTTTTTGGGCCATACATCCTCAAATAACAAGCTGCTTGACCTTCTTAATAACAACAATAGGGCCTTTCTTGGGCCATGCATCCTCAAATGACAAACTGCTTTTGTATGTGCTCCCACTGGTACAGCCGTTTCCTATATTGGGCCGTGCATCTTCAAACAACGTATTACCTTACGGAGAAAATGACTTAAAAATAACAATAATTAAAATAAAAAAAAAAAGAAAGAAAGAAAATAGATCGTAGAAGCTCTATGTTTGAATAAACATATACAGGACCACAATACATATTTCATATTGGGAGAGCGGAAAAAATAATAATAATAAGCGCACCGGAAGAAAAGAATACCTTGTAAAGTAAAATAAACCATTGGTAGAGTATGATCGGATCGAGTAAGAATATTTAGCTTGTACTCGGCTCGACGTGTTGATTAAGCGGGTTGATGAGTCAAATATGGGTTACCCTCTTTATTAACCGTTTGAATATCTATAGGGGTCCTTTTAATAAACCCGCTTTTAAAAAAAATTAAAAATTAAAAGGAACAGGTACGGCTAGCTTTGATTTATGCGGTTCGGTGCAGATTGGTGTGAACCTGATTAATTTGATCCGGTCGTTCGATAAACCATCCAACGAATACGGTCTGTTGGTATGCATGCTATCGGTACGTCGGCGCACCAACGATCGGTTCCCATGTACGAGGCGACTACTGCTGAGCTCCCAGGCTCGACGGCTGACTTCATCCGCGTGCTACGACGCCTAACTCTCACGAGGCCTGGTTAATGCGGGAGACAAACGTCTCTCTCCTCGGGTGCCAAAAAGTCAGGACCAGTCACCAACCCACTCCACTTCCTTCCTTTTTACAATAATAATATTCTCCAGAGGAAGTATAGCAGACTTCAGAGAGGGCCCGGGTCGGTCGGTCTCCCATTTTGGCCAATTTTTCGACGCGAGCTGGTCCTTCTAGAATAGCAGCGATCACTGCCCAAAAAAAAAAAAAAAAAAAGGGAACAAATTTTCGCAAGGTTCCCTTCTCGGGTCATCGTCAAAAAAATTTGACATTTTGACTTAGATGTCCGAGGGGCTTGTATGCCTCGATCTTTTTCACAACCACATCATCGCAGAAAGGAGCATCTTGAAGGTTAATTTTGAGTCTCTTAAAAAATAATAAATAAATAAATAAAGGATTTTAAATCTTTGACTACCCTTTTCTCCCTTCTCACCTGCTCCCATACAGCAAATATGTATATATATATACCGATCAAACCCACCACAAATTAATCAAACTCTTCAGTCTTCTTCTTCCCAAAACCAAAAAAAAAAAAAAAAA